AAAATTCCATTATATGTTACATTTTATATATATATATATATACATATATATATATACATATACACACACACACACACACACACACACACACACACATATAATGAGGGGCATCTGGGTTGGTTCCATATCTTAGCTTTGGTAAATAATGCTTCAATAAACATAGTTGTGCTGGTAGCTTTAGTATGGCCTTGTTTGTGATTGTTGAAGTAAATGCCCAAAAGTGGGATTGTTGGGTTCTAGGGGAACTCCATGTGTAGTCTTTTGAGGAACATCCATACTGCTTTCCAGAGTGGTTGGAAAAATTTACATTCCCACCAACAATGCAGTAGTGTTCCCTTTTGGCCACATCCCCTCCAGCATCTGTTATTAGATTTCTTGATTGTAGCCATTCTAAAGTGGAGTGAGGTGGAATCTCAATGTTGTTTTGATTTGCATTTCTTTTATGGCTAGAGAAGTTAAGCATTTCTTTGTGTGTGTATTGGCCATTCTTCCTCTTCAGGAAGTCTCTCTTTAAGTCTTTAGCTCATTTATTAATAGGGTGGTCATTTCTTTGAGGATTTGTTGTATGCATTTAACTTTTTTAGTTCTAAGTATAGCTGATGAAGATCTCCCAATTCATGGGTTTTCTATTGCCATGCAGAAGCTCTGCATTTCATGCAATTCCATTTGTCCTACCTTTCTTGGATTTGTTGTGTTTCTGGGTCTATAATAAGAAAATTTCGGCCTATGGCAATGAGCCCTAGAGTTTCTCCTATTCCTTCCTGTAATATTTTCAGGATGTCTGCTTTGACATCGAGGTCTTTGATCCATATTCTGTTGATTAAGGTGCAGGGAGATATATAAGGATCTAGCTTGACTTTTCTACACCTGTTAAACCAATTTTGCCAGCATCATTTACCAAAGAGGCTATCTTTCTTCCATTTTATTTTTTTTTGCACCCTTATCAAAGATTAGATCACTATAGGTCTATGCGTTCATTTCTGGGCCTTCAATTCTATTCCACTGGTCCTCAGGTCTGTTCTTGTGCCAGTACCAAGCTGTTTTTTATTACTATGGCTTTGTAGTAGAGTGTGAAATTTGGTATTGATATTCCTCCAGCACTGTTCTTTCTGCTAAGTATTGTTTTTGCTATTCGGGTCTTTTATTGTTCCATATGAATTTTTGGTTTGCTTCTTCTATTTCATTGAAGAATGAAGTTGGGATATTGATAGGTATCACATTAAATTTGTAGGTAGCTTTTGGCAGTATTGCCATTTTCATGATGTTAATCCTCCCAATCCAGGAGCATGGGAGGTTTTTCCACTTCCTTAGTTTTGCTTTAATTTCCATGTTCAGGTTTTAAAATTTTTCATCATAAAATTCTTTCACTTCTTAAGTTAATTCCTAGGTATTTTATTTTTTGTGTGGCTGTTACAAAAGGAGTTGCTTTCAGCCCTGCTTTTCTTGTTATTGGCATACAGAAAAACCACTGATTTTTTGAGGGTTAACTTTATGCCTTGCTACTTTGCTAAAGTTTTGGATCAGCTTAGGTAACTTGGGAGTGGGGTCCATGGGACTCTTTAAATACAAGATCATGTCATCTGCAAAGAGGGAGAATCTTACTTCATCTTTCCCTATTTGGATCCCCTTTATGTTTGCATCTTGTCTTATTGCTCTAGCTAGGCATTCGAATACTAAATTGAAGAGGAGTGGAGAGTGCAGACATCCTTGTCTCATTCCTGAATTTAGAGGAAATGGCTTTAGTTTTGCCATGAAGTATAATGCTGGCTGTAGGTTTGTCATATACAGCCTTTATTATATTGAGGAATGTTCCATGGATTCCTAGTTTCTCCAGAACTTTCATCATAAAGAACTATTGAATCTTGTCAAATGTTTTTTCTGCATCTATTGAGATAATCAAATGATACTTATCCTTGGTCTCTTCATGTGATAAATTATATTAGTTGATCTGTGTATATTGAACCAGCTTTGCATTGCTGAAATGAATCCTGTTTGATCATAGTGTATGATTTTTTTGGATGAGTTGTTGAAGTAGTATCTGATATTTTTGATTTGTTGTTGAATTTGGCCTGAATTTTGTTGAGAAGTTTGCATCAATGTTCATCAAAGAGATAGGCCTCTAGTTCTCTCTCTTTGATGAGACCCTATATGGTTTTGGGATGAGTGTTATGCTAGCTTCATAATGGATTTGGTAGTGATACTTCCCTTTCAGTTTCATTGAAGAGTTTGAAAAGTATTGGAGTAAGTTCTCCTTTGAAGGCCTGATAGAATTTGGCTATGCATCCATCTGGTCCTAAGCTTTTATTTTTGGATAGGAGGCCATTTCTATTTCATTACTTGCTATTAGTCTATATAGTTGATTTAAATCTTCTTGAATTAGTGTGGGTATATCAATATTTGCTAGGAATTCTTCCATTTCTTCCAGATTCTCCTCTTTGTTAGCATAAAGGTTTGCAAAGTTTTCCCCTGTAAAGTTCAGGATCTTGCTTGTTTCTGTCATGATGTTCCTGTTCTCATCTTTAATTTTATGTTTTTGGATGTGTTTTCATTTTTTTGGCCAGATTTGCTAAAGGATTGTCAATTTTGTTAATTTTTATAAAGAACCAACTCTTTGTGTTGTTGATTTTTTCCCCTATGGTCTCTAATTCTGATTTAATTTTATTTGTTCTGTGTCCTGGTTTGGGGTTGGCTAGTTCAACTTTTTCAAAGGGCTTAAGGTACCTCATTATCTTGTTAATTTGAAATTTCTCCATTTTGTTGATGTAGGCATTCAGAGCTATAAGTTTTCCTCTGAGTACTGCCTTTTCTGTGTCCCAGAGGAGCCAATATTTTGTGTGTTCATTTTTGTTAAATTCCATAAATGTTTGCGGTTCTGTTCTGATCTCTTGAATGAGCCACTGGTCATTCAACAACATATTGTTCATGTTTGATGAGTTAGATAATTTTCTGTAGCGGCTTTTGGTGTTGAGCTTTGATTTTTACTCATTTGTGACATTGTGACAGAATGCAGAGAATTTAATTGGAGAGTTAAAGCCAATTAATATAGTTAAGACTGAGAAGTGTTTGGTAGTTCATTAAACTGTTTTGGGCTGTGCCTCTTCATTTCTTAATAAATGTATATGGATCTCTGTTAAGGGGCCACTTCCACACCAGTTTTGTGTTCTTGTTGGTTTTGTATATGTAGTAATTCTTTAACTACTTTCTATAATGCTGATTTAGTGGAGATTTTTTTTTAATTTTCCTTGTTATGAAGGTTTTTATTTGTCCTTTGGTTATGAAAGTGACCTTTACTGGGTACATTGTTCTTTGTTGGTAGTTGTTTTCCTTTAAGGTATGGCATACATACATGGTAGGTTCTCCTTGCTTTCATGTTCTCAGCTGAGAAATCTGTAGTTATTCTGATTGGTTTTCCAATTATCTTTTTTTCCCTGACAGCTTTAAGGATCCTTTCCTTGGTCTCTAGTGATCCTGTGGATTAGGATGTGGCAGTGGGATGTTCTTTTCTAGTCTGGCTTATTTGGGGTTCTAAAGGTTGTATCTGAATGGGCCTATCTTTTTGGATGTTTGCTAACTTCTCAGCTAGTTCCTATTTCTTTAGCGTCCTTTACTTGACCTTTCTCAATATCAATTATTTTCAAATTAGGTCATCTGATTGAGTGCTGAAACTCCTGACAGGACATTTCTTGTTTATTGTATTTGTTTTGAGTAATTATATGTTCTTTTTCTCTAATGTCTAATCTTTGACTCCAGAGACTTTCTTCTCTATCTGTTGTCACAATCTGTGGTCAAAACTTTCTAGTTTGGATTTTATTTCCCTGCCTTGTAATTGATCATTTCTGATGGCTTTAATCTCCTTATTAATAATTTGTTTTAGGTCATTATGGACTTCTTTACTTCCTTGATTTATTTTCTGTGTCTTCTCTCATATCCTTTAGCTGAGTGACTATTTTTTTCATTGCTTCTTTTGGAATTGATTTAGCTTTCTGTTTGTGGATTCCATGAATTCCTGTAGTAACTTTTGGTTGGTCTTATCACACTCACACATAGTCTTGTGCAGACTTTCTATCTTTCCAGAAAAAATATTTATCAGCAGTGTTTTTCAAAGCATTTTTAGAACTAGCTTCTAGATCTTTCATTCACAGTTCTCTGCCTGGTTATTTTGTGTGGGAGTTGAGGTTCCTTGACTTGACATTTTCCTAATGTTTCTATGGTTCTGCCCATTTGGAAACAAAAGCAAATTTAACCACAACAGAACACATTTTAGAGTAAAGAAAAAACCCAGAGCTCTATAATTGCATAGAATTTAAATTAGAGGTTTAAAATCATACATAGCTATTCTGCCTAAATACTCCTTTGCTTTTGTTTGAGGAGGGGTATTGTGGTTCAGGAAAGGAGATTATATATAGTTGTAGCTATAGAGCAAATCTATTGTTAGAGATAAATCAATTCAAACCAAAAAAGATAACAGGATGAGCCAAATAGAGTCAAAATGGAAACAAATACAGTCTTAAGTCCCAGACAATTAGGGATCAACAAACTAAAGAAAAGGAAGAAGGAGAGAAGGACTAGAAAGAAAGAAAAACCAGTTACAGTGAAATTAAAAGAAATAGGAAGAGATAATGAAAAATAGGAGCAAGTAAGAAGGAATTAGCTCCTGTAGAGAGGTGCTAGCTTCCTCACAAGTTAGCCCTACCTGAAATCGTCCTCAATGTTTACAACCCACGTTTGTTTGTTTGTTTTATTTTGTTTCTTGGCCAGTAAGATTTTAGAAGCTTTGTTTCTTTGTTCTTTTTGTTGTTGTTGTTGATCATGGATCTTGAACTCTAGGCCTAGGCACTATCCATAAGCTCTTAAAGCTAGCGCTCTACCACAGGAGCCACAGCACCAACTCCAACAATTCCTACATGGACTGCCTTTGAAAAGCAATTCTCAGGCCTCAGACTCTGGGGATAGCTAGAATTATATACATGAGCCAAGAGCATCGAGATCAAGAAACGTTTCTAAACACAGCTTAGTAATTTTCCCACAAAGATCCTCCATACTATGTCATTGTCATACTCTATTCTCTTTTCCTGTCCTATCTCAGTCCCCATCACCCAGTCCCTCTCCAGCTCTGCCTCTTGTGGGCACAGAAGTCGAACACAGGCCCCTGCAGCGTGAGTGCAGCGACTGTGCATGCGCAAATGCCTGTTTCCCTGGGATTCTCCTGGAATGGACTCCAGGAGAAGAGATTGCTGGTCCACTTCCTTTGCTGGGAATGGTGTAGGAAAGCAGCACCTGCAAGAATGAGAAGTGTAGGACATGGCCCCTCATTTAGTGTTTAATCCATTCATATATTTGATCTTGTCCTCCCATAACAGCCAGAATTTCAGTAGGGAAGCTAGGTTGGAAGCCCCAGAGTGCTTGAAATCTCAGGAATTCAGAGTCTCAGGCCTCCAGTGGAGGCCTTGACTTTTGCATTTAATGTGATCTCAGTCCATTACTGAACATCACTGATCAAATGGAACAGTGATACTGGCCTTGTGTGTTTGGTGTTAATTGAAGTAGCACATCTTCCTGCCCTGTCCATGGGGATTGAATAAATACATGGTAATAGATGGTGAGGCCATATTCTGGGTGGGCTTTATGCTTCTGTAATTCACTTGGCTACGCCACAGGATAGCCAATGTACCCAGGATAACAAGGAGCCCTTGGCTCTTCTGTGGTATATTCTCCCATATGATGTATTTGCCTTTGCCTCTTCTAATCTTAGATAACTCATGACTGTTGGAGTTGTACTGATATTTTTGTGTGAGTGTATGTGTATGTGTTGTGTGCCACTACTGGCAATTCAATTTAGGGCCAATGTATTTTCAGTTAGTGTTTGCATTCAGTACTACTGCACTACCACATGAGCCTGAGCTCCCCTCTCTGCTCTTTGCTGCTCAATTTGCACGAGAGTGTGACTTGTCTGCATTGCTTCCTTAGAATCTCCATCTTCATATCTCATTCTCTTGAGTAGCTAGGATTACAAGCAAGAACCCTGACAGCCTAGCTTCAAAGTGGATTTTTCCCCTCTAGCTGGTTATATGACCTAAAGGTCTACATTTCTGTGGTTTTTCTAGACCTTTCTTCTGCCACTTGTTAACATTTTCTAAGTTGTATATTTGAAACCAACCTCATAATTTATGTCTTCTATCACATTGTTGATCCATGTTTATTCTATGAGCTTATATAATCTCTTTTTCCTTCCTACTCGGGGACCCTGATAGTTATCCTGTCCTTAAACCTTTTCCTTACCCTCCCCTGTGACCCACACAATTCAGTTGCTTCTTTCCAATGCAACCTTTGATTCCAACCTCTATCCAAAATCATGCAAAACTTTGGAAATATCAAAGAACTCAAATGGATTCTTCATTAATCTTTTTTTTTTTTTTGGTCCGGTCGTGGGGCTTGAACTCTGGGCCTGGGTGCTGTCCCTCAGCTCTTCAGCTCAAGGCTAGCACTCTATCACTTGAGCCACAGCGCCACTTCCGGCTTTTTTCTTTTTGCTTATGTGGTGCTGGGGAATCAAACCCAGGGCCTCAGGCATGCAAGGCAAGCACTCTACCACTGAGCCACCTTCCCAGCCCTTCTTCATTAATCTTATACTCAATTCCATTACATTTAATTCAATTTTATTGAGTTTAAGTACATTAAAATAATTTTATTCTATCAAAAACTATGTATATCAATATATCTAATAAGTCTATATCAGTGTTTATATCTTTGTATATAAATATATACGGGAAAATAGCTGGTATTCAATATGGTTCCCACAATCTCAGCAGCTATTACATTACATAGCCGTAATACTGAGAAACTTCCATATCTCTTTGCCTCTGAGCAAAAAACTGCAGTTTCCCCAAAGCAGTGTATTGAGCAGCAATTTCACGCTCTTTCTGGGCCCGCCTTTTCATGGCTTCACGCTCTGGCCTCTGCTCCTTGGTGATGGGATTTGATACAACTGGCCCAGGAATATCAGGTTTCCTCCATGGAATTGGTTGGCGGCTGAAGTCTTGGAGTAGATACTGGCTTTGAGGTTTAGGTGGTGACTGGAACTTGGTCCCAGAAGTTGACACAGGCTTCTGCTGCAGAGAAGTGGAAGATGATGTTTTGTAAGGTTCAGGCCTAGCAACAGTAGATTGAGACACACTAGGCTGGGGAGTGGTGGTCAATCCCTGTTTGATTGTTTTGGTTGCAATTGGCTGTGATGTTTTGGTGGAATCTATGAAGCATGTGTTGGCAGTAGCTGGTTGAGATCGGCTGACTGGAGTAGGCTGAGCTGTGTTAGAACAAGGGAGAGCACGGTAAGGTACAGTGGGTCTCCGGGAGGCCAGAGACTGTGGCCTGCGAGAAACAGGTCGAGCTTGAGGCTTCTCTGGGGCTAGAAAAGGCAAAGGAACCAGCTTGACCTTCCCAGGTGGAGGCAGCTCATCCTGGGTTGGTGATGGACACTGGCTTTCACTCCTATCCCTTTTCTTGACTTGAGTAATTTTAGGGCCTTTGCCCTCATGGGGAATACCCAGCCGAGATTTCACAGCTGGAGTGGACTTGGTTTCTTGTGTGCTGCTGGCATTTCTCAAGGCCTTGGGGGAAGGCAGCTCCTTTTTTTTCTCACTTTTCTTCCCTAGGGCATGGAAAACCTGCACTGACTCCCACATCTGCACGCCTAGGTTGGTTCGAGGCCTTTTGAAGGTCTCTTGGCTAAGCTCAGGGTGACTTCTCTTGTGCTTGGTCTTGGGAATGCTTGTCTTTTCTTCTTTTTTGATTTTGTTCCCTGGCTGCTTGGTTTCATCACATTTCTTGGGGTGGTTCTCCCTGATCCTTTTGGTCTCTTTCTGTGCATGGCTCTTAGTTTTGCTGACCTTGCTGGATGCAGCTTTTGGAGATTTGCTGTCAGAATGCTTGTCTGTGTTCACGGAAGCCTGGTCACTGGATGGGATGGTGCACACAGTCACCTCTTCCTCCAGCAGGAGCTCTGGGGGCTGGCATTCGACTTTGACCTCAGGAGTTCCATCCACACTTTCCAAGGCTTCATGCTTGTTCCTTTGGACTTGATCAGTGGAATGCTTAGTGACCATTGAGTTTTCCTGGAGGAGAATCTCATCGATGGTTTCTGTACCTTTGATATCGGTTTTAGTAGACACATTGGATTGTTTGAGATCTGTGAAGGAATTGAAAGTCTGGTTAAAATGAATGTCTTTCACCATCACAGCACTCTGTTAAGCCCACCCATGGTTAAAGTGAATTCCATTTTTCCTAAAGACAAAAAAATTCCCAAATTGGTCCTATCATGTGTAGACTTCTCCCTTGTCCCTACTTAGTTACTGTTGACCTGCAGCTGCTAAATGTTAGGAATTTCTGAAGAGAGTAATGGGGCATCCTGGCTTTCTATTATTTTTAGAAGGCAACAGAGTCTTTGAAAGTTTGTTCTGAATTTCATTCTAATGTTTATTCTGTGTTTATGTATGGCTTTGCTGGAAGCACAGCCATGGTATTAGAAGAGCTTAATAATATATCTCTTATTGAAATGTCTCCAAGGTCAGGTGACACATGGTTTTCTCAATTACTTCAGCATTTATGCTTGTAGGCTTTGGAGCTCTCTGGAATTTCTGGTTGACAAAATTTTTTACTTGGGTGCTGCAATTTTAGGGAAGTGTGCATTTCCAGGAATATTTCCAGCAGTACAAAGAAATGAAGGTCAAAATCGGTCCCTGATAGGTGTTGCATTCACACACCAATAATTTAATGGTATTTTTCATCACTGGGCAAGGTGTTTCTAGGATTCAGTGTTAAGGGTCATGGACAGGACTCTAAGTCAGAAGATATATAATAACCATATAAAATGTGCTAATTAGATGACATCATTTCTTTTCTTTTTCCTTTATAGGTTTGTTGTAAGTGAAATAAAAAATGAAAGAAGCTTTAAAAATAGGAAATGAATCCCAGTAGCAGTTGCTCATGCCTTTAGTCCTAGCTACTCAGGAGGCTGAGATCTGAGGATTGCAGTTCAATGCCAGCCTGGGCAGAAAAGTCCATGAGACTCTTATCTCCAATAAACCACCAGAAAACTGGAAGTGGCACTGTGGCTCAAGTGGTAGAGCACTTGCCTTGAGCTAAAGAGCTGAAGGACAGCTCCCAGGCCTAGAGTTCAAGCCAAATGACAGACCAAAAAAAAAAAAAAGAGAGAAATGATTTGGACTTCATGTTAGATCAGAGATAGAGTGATTGCTTACTATGCTCTTGACTCTGTGGTGAAACCCATGAACAACAAAAAAAAACTACTTTAGAAAACCTCATATTTTTATACTTGTTACTCAGATAGGTGTTGATTCTAACCCTGAATTGAGAGAATGGGAGTGGGGGTAGGAAACCTTTAGTGTGGTTGTGTGTATTTCTCTGTGTATGTGTGTGCACGGGTGTGTGTGCGTGTGCATGCACACATACATACAAAATTGCTTGTGGAGCTTTAACTCAGCCTTTCTTCTTTGGCTGCTTGACTTTTTCTTAGGGCTACTGCATTATTACTTTATTTAGTGTCTAGGTACATTTGTTTGTAAACTGAAAATAAGATGTTGAAAAACTTTTCAAGATGTCTTTGGAATTCAGTCCTCAGATCTCAGTCTCCTCAGTCAGTAGCTAGGCCAGAAGCATGAGCAGACTTCCTGCCTACAAAATGCACAAAATATACATCTTCTGACCTGTTTCCTTTGAGAAGGAAGAAATGCAAGGAACAAATGGAAAGAACTAGATAAAGAAGGGGATTAATTAGAGGGAGTGGGTTTCAAGGACAATGAGCAGCATGGCCTCACTGAGTGTGCTTTTGGTGACACTAAGGGCAGCACAGCTGTCCTTCACACTTTTCCATAAATTCTTATGTATTTATTTAATTATCCAATGAAATTAATGGCAGTACTGAGCTCCATCATTTGAGCTATACTCTCATCCCTCTCTGGCTTATGCCTAAAAATAGAGGTCACTTTGTGAGTGAGGTGGTAGAGGCTCTGGACTTAAAACTATATTTGTGAGCTCTCCACTACTCAAATGCATATTGGCTCCTCCTTTTATAAGCTACTAATCCTATTCCTTTTTGCTGTCTGTGCTTACCTTGGAAATTGGTTTCTGTGTTAGGTTGAGCAGACACAGAGTAGTAGATTCCAGAAGTGGAGACTGGTGGTAAGACATCTGTAGGCTGGACCTCTTGGAGTGTCATCACTATTTCTGGCTGAGGAGCAAAGAACCCACTCCCTGTGTAGGTCACAGAGCCATATGATTGCAGGCAGGGACCAGGCTCTCCAAATAACAGAGGACCCATAGTGTTTTGATTATAGTAGTAAACCTGGTTTCTTGGTTGGTAGGGAAGTAATATGCTACTCTCTTGATGTGGAATCTGAGATAATGTCCCCTGAACCAGGCTGCCAGACAGTGATGGATACAGAGGGACTATGGCATTGGCATCCACATATCGTGGTGTCACAGCCATTGAAGGGAATGCTGTGCCCTGGTTGAGAGTCACAGTGAAGTCTCTAAGTTCAGATGACTTCTTTTTAGTGTGTCCTGTGTACTTCCTTTCAAAAGTACTGGGACAGGAGGAAGCTGAAGTGCAGCTGTGGTTCTGGCCAGTAACGCCTGTCAGCATGGGTGTGCTAGAATGTTGATAAAGATAGGCAGTACCCGTGAGTGGCTGAAAAGAGATGCCAGAGGTGGATGGTAGTGGCCATGTTGAAGTGAAGGCTGGAGTTGAGGCTCCGGAGAGGATGTAGACATTTCCTGCTAGAGAAGTCGCATCACTCACCACAGGAACAGAGAGCTGTGGTGAGTTTGCAGTTCCAAGTAGAGATGGATGTTGGAAATTGTCTGCAAGAAGCAAGAGGGTGGTAAAAAATGAATGAGATTGACCAAGTCCCACTTTGAGGAGGAGTATATTTGAGGCTGGCTATGATCAGAAGCCCTCTAATACCAACAATCATTGACCTATCTATGATCAGTTTATAAGCCAAAACCATTTTTATTCTTCCGATGAACTTTCCCAAGCTGTGCTACAGAAGACACCAAGTGGTTCCTGTGTTGTTTTCTGGGTAGACACAGGCTTCTCCTTTGCTTCTCTGTCTTTCCCTTAGTCTGCACTTGTATTTGCTCCTAACTATGTCCTAGCATGGAACCATTTTAGATCTCAGATATCCTTAGAGCAGTGTTTAGATTATTTCAGGAATAAGGAAACTGAGGGTCAGAGGTCAGCCTGATTGGTTTGAGTACTTCCTATTGTTATGAGCACCATGTTACAAAGGGTGAGCAGGTGAACCATGTACCAATATCAGGAGACAGAATTTTTTATGAGGCAGTGGATGTTGTTCATGAGAAAACAGTGATCTTGTTTTCATCGTTCTTTTTGTTTTGCCATGTTGTATAAGTTGCAGGCCATGTTTTACAGCTCTTTTAAAACACAGACAAGAAAGTAAGTTAAGTCAGACGTCTTCAGGTCCTTCTGACCTGAAGTCACAATGCCTACCACAGAGTTATGTTCTCAAAAAATGCTTTTTGCAAAAAAACTGTGAAACTTACTGAGCTTCTACATATTCATCAATGACATAGTATACATGCAAATAGTCATGAATAGCAAAAGGGAGATACGTGATTGATACAAAGTCAGTTCTGAAAAGGTAGACAAAATGTAAGCGTATTATATATAATTAAATATACAAAGATATTAAAAGATAATTTGGATAATATCAAATAATCTTGTTTAGTATATTTACCAGTAAATAAAGTGATGTTATCATATGTGCAATATTAAGCAAATGGATATTTCTCCCTCATTTTAGCCAAAATCTAGCACAGAAGTGAAAGTTGGTTTTGAATTGTGTGTGTGTGTGTGTGTGTGTGTGTGTGTGTGTGTGTGTGTCCCTATTTGAGGACTTTCACTAAGGGCCTAAGCATTTTACCTAGGTTTATTTTTGCTCAAGGCTAGTATTGTACCACTTCAAGCACAGTTCTACTTCTGCCTTTCTTAGTTAACTGTAGATAAGGATCCTAAAGACTTTCTTGACCAGGATGTCTTTGAGCTGCTATGTTCACCACTCATTCCAATGAGTAGCTAGGATTACAGGCATTAACCACTGGCACGGGCTAAGAACTATTTTTGATACAGTGTGTCAGTTGAGAAAGCTGGCAGCACACTTGTTATCTTCAACCTCAACTTCTCAAGTGGCTAGAATTCCAAGAGCTTGGAATATAAGGTACCACACCTAGGCCATTTTTGCATGCAATTCAAGTCAATTTGGTTTCTCCACTTAAAGTTATACCATCCCTATCTCCTATCTCTCCTTGACATGTCTCTCTTCTCTCATCCTGCTTCAATTGACGATGGTGAGTCTTCTTCTCCTTGAACATACATAACTCTTCATTTACTTGACTGTTGCTTTGATTTCTTTCAACAAATCTTTGTAGTTTTCAGCAAATACATCTTACATATTTCTTTTTTAATATGTTTTATTATAAAAATACTGCACAGAGGGGTTACAGTTACATGAGTAAGGTAATGAGTACATTGTTACCTCCTCCTTTGTTTTCGTCCTATTCTCCCTTTCCTCCCCAGCTCCTCCCCCCTCTCCCTGAAGTTGTAAAGTCTGTTTCAACATAGTTACACATATCTTTGGTAATTATTCTAACTATCTTATAATTTAATAGTATAAGTAGTACTTTTAATTGAAATTTCTAATGTTTATTGGGAATGATTAATTATTGTCTGACCTTTGATCCTAGGAGTTAGATAACTTATCTTCTTTGGGATTTTTATGGCATCAAGAGTCAAGCCATATAAGTAGTCATAATTGATGTAGACTAGTATTTTTAAAAATGTGTAGGAAGCATAACACCTCTGTATTTCTAGCATGTGGGATACTGAGGTTAAAGTATCACTCTTTTCATGACATTATGACCAGTTTGGGCAACATATCACAAATGCAAAAAAGAAAAAATTAGAGCAAAGAAGCAAAATTCAAAATGGTATAAAGAACAGCAAATCACCAAAAGTAAAAAATCCTATTATTATATTTATTCCTATTTCTATAATTTAAAGATATTAATTGTTCTAGCTAGATATTTTAATTAATATAGTATAAACAGAAGCACCAAAAAGTCTTTTAAAAAGTTTTGTGCATTTTCATATTTATTCTGAAAACCTAGCTCCATGTTCAGTCATGAGAAAAATCATCTTCAACGTAAGAAAATAGTCACTATTAGAATTCTGTTATCATCATCATCATCATCATTTTCTTTTCTGGCAATAGACATATGCCTCTTTGTGTGGTATTGTTACTGGGGCTTAAATTCTGGGCCGAGTGCTATCCTTCAATTGTGTGTGTGTGTGTGTGTGTGTGTGTGTGTGTGTGTAAAGCAACAGCTCTGCTAGTGGAGCCTCAGACCATTTGGGGTGGTTAATTGAAAATAATAGTTTCAAAGACTCTTACACTTGCAGTCTAGCTAAGAACTGTGATCCACAGATCTCAGCCCTCTAAGTAGCTAGGTTCACAGACAGGAGCTACAATGCTAGGCAGAAGTAAGGCCTTTTACATTTTATGTATATAATGTGATACTGCTTAAATGAATGTGGAACAATGATATGGAGATTAACTTTTGATTTTGATTTTTAGAAAAGTCTTTATCTTTGATTTTTGGATCTCAAAGGACTGATTTTTAGTATGTTTGTTTTGTTTTAACCAGAAATTGATTATAAGGATAAAATACAACTTTTATTTGAACTACTACTGATGAAAGTTAAAATGCCTCATATATACATAATATATACATACACAGATTTATATAAATATAAATATATATATGTATATATATGTATAAATATATATGTGTATGTATATATATATATGTATACATATATATATATATATATGCCTGGCATTTATGACTGTTATTCTAACTACTCAGGAGCCTGATGTTTTTGTTTGTTTTTTGTGGGTCAGGGGCTTGAACTCTAGGCCTGAGCGCTGTCCCTCAGCTCTACAGCTCAAGGATAGCACTCTACCACTTGATCTACAATGCCACTTCCAGTTTTCTGGTGGTTTATTGGAGATAAGAGTTTCACAGACTTTCCTGCCCAGGCTGCCTTTGAACCGCAATCCTCAGATCTCAGCCTCCTGAGTAGCTAGGATTACAGGCGAGAGCCACCGGCGCCTGGCTTGCCTGAAGTTTTTGAGGGTCATGGTTCCAACCTGCTCCTCACCAAAACCAGGAAGTAGAGCTGTGGCTCAAGTTATAGAGCATTATCTATGAGATAAAAAGCTTAGACACAGCACCCAGGCTTGGAGTATAAACCTTTGTATTGATACACACACACACACACACACAAACACACCTCCATGAAGTTTAAAAATCAGAATGAGGGGCTGGGAAAGTGGCTCAGTGGTAGAGTGCTTGCCTTGCATGCATGAGGTCCTGGGTTCGATTCCTCAGCACCACATAAGCAGAAAAGGCTGGAAGTGGCTCTGTGGCTCAAAGTGGTAGAATGCTAGCCTTGAGCTGAAGAGCTGAGGGACAGTGCCCAAGCCCAGAGTTCAGGCCCCACGACTAGCCCCCCCCCAAAAAATCAGAATGAAAAGTAATGCTGAAATTTATGTTGCACAACCCTCTGTAAGAACCCTTCCTAGAAATATGTTATAAAGAGCCATTTCTACAATACATGTCTAAAATGTTCACATTGGAAACTGTCAAGGCAGGGCTCAGCAGCTTACTTCTCTGATCCTAACTACTTGGGAAACAGTCCAGGACGGTGGCTTGACAGCCTTCTAGGCAGGTTAGTGAAATTTCATCTCAATCACATAACCTCCTGTAGTGGATCATGGCTGTGGTCACTGGTACAAGGGAGTCATAGGCAGAAGGATCACGGTTCAAGTTGGCCTGAAGTAGAACTCCAAATCCTGTCTGAGAAAATAACTGAAACAAAGAGGGCTGGGGCGTGGCTGGCACCAGTGCTATGCCCTGAGTTCACAGGTTAAAAAACGGTACTATCAAGCATCATCTGTATTCAGAATCAACTGGAAAAAACATCACAAGAATCATAAAGTAAGAATCATCTAAAAGTGACTTCTCAGAAACTGCTTTTAATGATTCTCCTTTTTATCCTTAGTTTGCTTTGTGGTCCACTAATGTGTGCTTTGACTGAAACTAACTGCATTTTGCCTTGCTGTGGTTAGATTGTACTCTGTTTCTGTGTGTTGATTTTAACAGGTTTGATCATCTTCAGCATTCTGTTCTAAACCACCTCTCTTTTCTCGAGAATGTCCCCATGCTCTTCATAGCTGTGGTTCTATCCTATTTCTCATCCTCCTCTTTATCTTTTCTTAACCCTTCTGGTTCCTGATGAACTTTTCCTTCCAGAACATCTCTCTGGTGCTAGCCTGATCATCCCTCCTCTCTTTCTGTTTTTCTCTGTACCTCATTTGAGCAGAAATATTGAAAGACTTAAATATTGTTCTTTGAATACACTAAATTTGAAATATTAAATTGGAACTGGTTGTTGAAGGACTCTGTTACAGATAAAGTATCCTGGTATAGAGTTTTCTGCACCAAGGTTTCCTTCTCCATTAATTGGTTAAAAATTGACACTCTGAAGAAGTCTATGGCTTCAATCTCCATCCATGATTACCCTTTAAGTAAACACAGTGTTAGAAATCAAAGTGATTCCAGATTGACCAATTTATTATTTTCATGTAGCAGACAAAGCAACAGATTTTGTCAGAGAGTAAATGTGTGGCTAAGTCACATGTCTAGAAGACCCTTTTTATCCTTACCTGACATACTGAGAGAAGGGTTAATATCAACTGGAGATACAAGGAATGAGGAATGACACTTGAGGATGTGTGGATAGCTGAAGCTAAAGAGCACGAGTGTGCCCAGTAAGGAGCTCACTGGATACTGCTCACTGGGCACTGGGCACTTGCGATGATGCAAATATTCGAAGGATGCCATGGTAACCCCAGGATTCTACTAGGTGGTGATTGGTTTGGTGGGAGAATGATGTCATTAGTTAGGCAGTTGAAAGGTCTGAAGCAGCCAATCACAAGATCAGAATCTGAACTAGAAGATGGGATTGGGTAGAGAATGGCAGGAAAGTGCTAATAATTCCTGCAAGCTTGATCTTTGATGACCTGAAGGCTCTTACATTGAAGACATCATCTCAGTGTTTCTCACCAATGTTCATTATTAAAGCGATTTATAAGTTGTCCATTATATTTCACCTTATAGAAGTATTATAATGACTTTGTGCATATAATGTGCTTGATGAAGAAAGATCCTTGAGGTTGAAGCCTTACACTTGTTCTAAGATCATTTTGTTGACCCAATTAGTGAACTTAGTAGAACTTTCAATTAGCCAAAGAAGAATGAAAGAGCTCTTTTGTTACCTGATTGAAGAGCAGGGTGAAGTACATTGTTGGTGCCTTGTAAGGAATTTTGTAATCCAAGGCACTTGCCTTCTAGTGTCTTCTCCTTGACATCTTTGTTCTGGGTTGTTCTAGGCCAGATTGGACTTGCATGTCTCCTCTGTTCTTCATTTTTCTTTTCTTTATTTTAGGAATTATTTCTTGGAGAAATCTTGATTTTACATTCTTTTATGTGTTATTTTATTATAGGTCCTGTGATTTGAACTCAGGGCAAGGGCTTAGTCCCAGAACTTTTACTTTTTAAATCAAGGATAGTACTCTACCACTTGGACTTTCCTTCCTGGACTGGCTTAGAACTGTTATCCTTTCCTCTTAGACTCCTAAGTAGCTATAATAACATGCATGGGGCCTTGGTGCACACTAGATTTTGCATTCTTATACCATGGAGGTTTACTCCTAGAAGCAGAGATTTTTGCTTTGCCCTGATACTTTGAAATGTGATATGTGCACATTAGAAGCAAACATTAAAGGTGAAAGATACAGTTGAATGAAGTTTTTCTGACTTTAAACAATTATTTTGCTTATAATTTGCTGCCCCTGGCTCTTTGGGCCATGTAGTCACACACTATCTCATTCATTCTTATGCCAGAAGCATGGAGGATTTTTTTTCTCTTCTATAAATGAAATGAAGATGGCAGTTACTGAAGCTTCGTTCTCCTTACAAACCACCACTACGGAATTCTGAGGTTCTTGTATTCTTTGTCTGTCATTCTTGGATGCAGTCAGGCAAAATGGAGAGCCAAATAGAGAAAATACACAATGATAGAGCACAGGAAAAAGTATAGATGGGAGAAATGAGATTCATGTGGTAGGTTTTGGTTTGGTTTCATGAGATAAGCACAATTTAACTGAATTTTGAACTACAGGATCATACAATTGAGTATTTTTGTTCAGAAACTTATCAGAAATTTAAACACTGAAAGACTTTAAAAGTAAAATATTAATAGTTTTCCTTTTGTTTATTTTAAAACATCTCATTTATGCCACTGATTTAGTATGTTTAGAGACTTTGAAAGTTTCTGCATTATCTACTCATTTTCTTGGTTTGTTTCTTTTTTATAAGGAATCCAACACTGTTATGATGTGTTGCTTTTGTTTGTTTGTTTCTATACTGAAGCTTGAACTCATTGGTTGGCTACATCCCTTAGCTTTTTGATTAAGATTTGTGCTCTACCCCTGGAGCCACAGCTACCTTTCCAGCTTCTTTTTATGGTGGTTAAATTTGATAAGCATGTGTTGGTCTTTCCTATTGGACTGCCCTTAAACTGTGATCCTCAGATTTCAGCCTCCTGTTTAGCTAGAGTTACTGTCCTGTACCATAGACACCTGGCATACTCTATTTGAGGCTTAAACTCAGATCTTCTCACTGTGGTTTGGTTTCCCTGCTTAAGGCTGGTTTCTACGACTTGAGCCATGGCTCCACCTCCAACTGCATGTCTTTTCCCGGCAATTATTTATTTTGAAGCAGAGTGAGCAAACTTTTTATTATCTTTAATACTTGTAGAAAGGAATTGACATTGGACATAGCAATTGATGGATGTAGTGCCTTTTAATCAATGTCACGCCTTCTTCCCAACTCTTCCCTCATTTTTCTTAAATTTTTGGTTTGTATTGAATTTTTGTGATGTAATAAACTATTTATGTATACAGTGCATATCATCTGTATCATCTCTTCAACATCTTCACCCCCCTTCTCTTATTTTCTCAATGTACTGTATGTACAGTGTATTCTTGCCTTCGTTCTAGACAGTAGAAGGCATTCCCCTGCTTATTCCTCTACTCTTCTCCCTTCTAGCAAATACCAATTTCCTGCTACTTACTTTGTGGGTCTTCGACTTAGTCTTTCTGAAGAATTATACTATTTGCACTCTTTATGTCATCTATTATACTTCATTTAATTCATCTATAACTGCATGCCACCCATTGTGTTTACTTATAGATTTACAGGCACATTCTAGACCCCATGCCACCTATATTTCTCTGGACCTAGCTTAGTTGACTTAATATAATTTTTTCCAAGTCTTTCTACTTTCTTACAAATTTTACAGTATCATTCTTTCTAATGGATGAGTAGAATTCCATTGTGTATATATATCACATTTTCTTGATCCATTCATCCATTCAGGGGCATATGGGATGATTCCATACCTTAGCTCTATGGTTAATAACGCTGCAGTGCATATGGTTGTGCTGGAAGCTTCAATGTATCCTTGTTTGTGGATAAATGCTCAGGAGTGGAATTGCTGGGTCATAGGGTAGTTCTATGCTTAGCTTTCCTCCATACTGCTTTCTAACTGATTGAACAAACTTACATTTCCACCAATCGTATAAGAAAGTTTGCTTTTGGCCACATCTTCTTCAGCATGTGTTATTGTTAGATTTCTTGATAATGGCTATTCTACCTGCGGTAAGGTGGAATCTCAATGTTGTTTTGATTTGCATTTCCTTTAAGGCTAGACATGTGGAACATTTCTTCATTTGTTTATTGGCCATTTGTTTTTCTGAGAAGTCACTTTTTAGGTCTTTAGTACCTTTATTGATTGTGCTGTTGTTTCTCCAAGGGTTTATGTTTTGAGGGTTTTAGTCTTTAACTTCTAAGAATATTATGGATTTTAGACCCTTGTCTGATATATAGCTGGTAAAAACCTTCTTCTATTCTGTGATTTTTCTTCTGTTTATATTGTTAGCTATTTCCTTTGCTGTGCAGAAACTTTTTTTTTATTTGTGAA